AGAGGCAACAAGAGGCCTTCAGTAGTCAGCCTCCGTCTCACAGCACACGACACTCTGCCCAAGTCTTCTAGACCAGAAGCATCCTGGAGCCGTGGGTTGAATCTGTCTTTGGTGGCCTGTACCCAGTGCCACACATTCGCCTGTCACGTAGTAGGTGTGCAGTAAACAGTAAACATTTTCTGAGCGACTGAATGGACAGCAGGGTGTTCAAGTGCTGTACACAGCTGTCGAGGAGCAGCTGAAGCAGAGTCCAGTTGCTCAGTAGTCCCCCTGGTCAACCTGCCAAAGACACCGGAAGAGCTTGAAGCAACAAAAGTAGAAATTGAGGGAAACGGACTGATGCCGATCATCTTCTTAGAGACAGAGTGTTTCATGTTCAGTTAGGGGTGGTTTTTGATATTTAGTGTCTTATTAAGCAGACAGATGAGCAAGCCTGGGTTTGGATTTTAAAAGCCTACCACAAGAACCAAAAACTCCTCTAGGGACAATAGTTTTGTGTAGAGTCAGCAGAATCTGTACCCACTCTGTGGCCCTGGGACATTTGTGGGGCAGATTCAGAATCAAATGTTAGATGCGAGGGGTGGGGGGAAATGGATTGCTGACTCAGTTTCTCCTTCAAGCCCTAAAGGGCAGCTCTTCCCAGGCTCAGAGGAGTGGCTGGCGTCAAGGGGTCGTGGGCCCTTCTGGGTGATGCTTAGGTAAGATGTCAGGTAGAACTTCCTCTTCATCTGTTCATCAGTCATTTTTCAGAGCAAATGTCAAGGGCGAGCCCTGTCTGCCCCAGCTGTCAGGGAGTCCCTGCCCAAGCCCTCCCAGGAATTTCATATGGGGGCTCTGTAATGTCACAGTGTCCTGATGCCAGCCTCGGAGCCTAACATCAAGACCCACAGGGCTAGAGGGAGTTGAACACGGATGTTTTAACTGGCGGCCAGGGCAGAGCCTCGCAGCAGCCGCGCAGGAGCACAGAGATGGCCGGACAGTTGACTCTCTTCCTTCTTGCGGCTCACGGTGGATCAGATGCTAACCAGAGCCTTGATGGATGCTTCTTGAAAGCACGTTATATTGTAAGGAGGGATTTCTATCATCATGTCGTGTCCTCCTGAGACAATTTATTCTGTGGTATTACTCCAGGTCTCACACGTTGTTTTTTATCCCCTTGATGTTTTTTGGGCCATTTTGTTGCCGGGGCTGGGTATTGACCGACCTGGTGGTGCCCACTCAATGTCTCACAGGTGGGGGTGGGGACAGCATCGCCCTTGGCTGGGAAGCACCGGGTGCCACCAGGAAAGCCTGATAGGAACATGGTAGGCTGGCTGGGCAGCTCCATGCAGTTTGTGAATATGACCGCTTCTCGCAGCTCTCAAGACAAAGTGGAGCCAGCAGATAATACTTCTGTATCTAATGGACTCCTTCCTTCCATAAATATCCAACATCTGCTCTGCACCGAGCATCGGGGGCATGGCAGGGCCAAGGCAGGTGTGGCACAGACCTTGCGGTGCTGGCATTTGGGGACCCAGCCAGGTGCGAATCTGGGAGAAATCTGCTCCAGGCAGAGGGAGGACAAATGCAAAGACCCTGAGTTGGGAGTGTGCCTGGTGGTCCCGGAGGAGGTGGACCGGTGAGTTGGGGTGGGGGTGGAGGAGTTCCAGGTGGTCCAGAGGCCGAGGGCGGGAGCTTGGGTTTCCCCCCAGGAGCAGTGAGGAGCCCTCAGAAGGTTTGCGACAGGAGACTGGCACTGCAGGGTTTGTGTCCTAACTCTGTGCAGAGATGGCACAACAGCGAATCAGGAAGATCAACAGGTGGTCAGGGCAGGATGGAGAAGTGGGGTCATTTCACAAGGTGGCCCCAGTTGAGATGGAGATAAGTGAATATAATCTAGACATACGAGAGGAATAATTTTCCAAATTCCTTAAACAAGCAGCCACTTCCCTAACCACTCTACAGCGTGTCTATACGATGCCTGTTACGTTCACCTCCCGACCTGTCAGTAAATCTGAAAGCCTGCTCCAGCTGGGCTTATTGCCCGCACCATGCAGGGAAGGCCCTGGCTGCCCCAGACCAGAGGCTCAACTCGGTCCTCAGGTCGGGTCAGTGGCCAGACTTGCAAAAGGGCAGAGAAGAAAGGACGGGGAGGTGAAGCCACATCTCCCTTGCTGACCTCCGGGCTCCAGGGTCCAGCAGAGGCCTGGGCAAGAGCAGATGCCGAGTGGATGTCTGTGGAGCCCTGAGCTAGGGAGTGGGGAAGGACTGCTGGCCAGGGCTGCAGTGCCTCACCCCGGGGCACCGTGATCCACAGGGAGCACAGTATCATCTCCTGACCCATTGGGGGAAACAGAGGCTGAGAAGGCTGGGGAATCTGTCCAAGGGACCCATATGCCAGTTCTTCCCCATGGTCATTCCAAAGTTGACTCTCAGTGGCTGTACTATCTCTTTAGAGGAGAGAGAGAGAGAGAGAGATAGAGAGAGAGAGAGAGAAGATGGGATCCACCCAGGACATACTGACACACTGGGCTGGACCACTTTGTGCCAACCTACCCCTTATCCCACTCCTCCCTGCCCCAGTCTTCCAGGAGAGGTGCTGGCAGGCCATGAGCCAGACCACGTGACCAGGGCCACCCTCTGTTCTGCCACCCTAGATTCCCGTGGTTCCCTTGCTGATCAGATCCCCCAGGACCTGTCTTATGGCCCTTTGACACTTGCAGCAGCCCTGGATGTCTGCAAAACACCCGCCACTTTCTTCAGCCACTGCTCTGGGCTGTTCTGGTGCACTCCTTCTCTCCTCCAATTAATGGGGGCTTCAGGGCCCCTACTGGAGAGGACACAGGTAGGTGGCAGTGGAGGTCACGGTCAGGGTTTGGAGCTCTAAGGAAACATTTCCTTCTGGCCAACTCTGCACATCTTATTTAGGGAAGTGTGCAAGTCACAGGCAGTATGCATGTTTCGGGGAGGTGTGTGTGTGTGTGTGGGTGTGTGTGTGTGTGTTTGTGAGATGTGCTGAGATTTAAGGGCCATTGGCCCAGGGAGCTATGCTGGTGCTGACGTCCCTTGGGCCCCAGCACCAGCTGTGCTGCTGCTCGCTTCCCATTGGCTCATGGAGAAACACAAGCAGCATCAGGGTCCTGGCACACAACTCTTTCCCTGGGTGTCTGTGACCTCCCCCAGGACTGCGAAGGCTTGTGCACACCGACTGCTCTGCACTTGGCCTTGGAGCTCAGTTCTGCCCGCCCCGGATCTGTTCCTGAGCCTGCAGAAGGCTGTGAACCAGAGAATTTATTCTTCAGGCGGGATTTGCCAGTGGTGGCAGGGCGGGGCCTGGTGGCTGGAGGGACACGTGTGCTGGGAGGAAAGCAGGAAGTGACTCTGGAGTGGAGCCGGCCCCGTGAGCAGCAGCGGGCTGATGGAAGTGGAGTGGGGGCTGGAGAGGGCACCCTAGTGAGTTGGCTTTTCTCTCCTTCAGCGCCTTTGGCGGGGCCAGAGCCCGGGGCCCTCAGGACCCGAGTATGAGACTTGAGGGTGTCCCCGGGGAAAGGAGGGATCGAGGAGAAGCAGGAGGCTTGCAGGTGGCCGGGCAGGGAGGAGTGCCTGGCCCCGCTCTGCCCCTCCAGGGTGAGCCGGGAGGCAGTGACTGCACCTCCTCCAGCCTCTGCCGTCCTGGCTGCCTGTGGGTGGGTGGGGGATGCGGGATCCCGGGAGCAGAGGCCCCTCCCCCTGGCTTCTGAACTTGACCTGCAGCAGGTTGGGGTGCGGCCTGAGATTGTGCATTTCTAACCACGTCCCTGGTCCGCTGGTCCACGGACCACACTTTGAGCAGCAAGACACTAGACGACTCTCCCAGAACCACTTTCGCCCCAACCTGAGCCTTCTTGCTTCCCTGTGTGCCATCTCACTAGGACCTGGGCACACAGGTGCTGTGCCCACTTCTGCAGCGTCACCAGCATCTTGGAGCTGACTCTCAGAAGGGAGCAACAGGTTTAAAGGGGCAGCAAAATAAAATAATAAGGAGAGCTCCACCAGCCTGGATGGCCTTCTGGGCGGCCCGCGCAGACTGTGCACAGGGGTGCAGTGGGGCCAGTGTGGGGGCTTCTCTGAAGCTGCAGTGGGCAGAGAATGAGCCTCTCTCCTGCCAGCCCCTCGGAGTTTAAGGTCTTCATATCCAGCTTCTGAGGGAGACTGAACCCCAGTGAAAGAGCTGCTTTGGAGGTGGCGGGGCTTGGTGTGCCACGCTCCTAAGGTGACTGGTCTACTGTTGGAGAAACATTGTTCTCTGGGGACTGTACCAGCTGAGCCACCCCCCCTGCTGTCTGTGCTCCTGGTCTTGGAGAGGTTGTACACATGTCAGTGTGCATCAGAATCCCTCGTGGACTTGGTTCAGATGCAATTCTGATCAGCAGGCCCGAGGTGACCTGAGAGTCTGCATTCTTAAGTAGCTCCCAAGGGGCCCAGTGCTGCTGGTCCTTGGGCCACCCTTTTGAGGAGTGAGGTTTTCTGTTTTTCTTTACCAGGGATTGAACCCAGGGACTTTCAACCACTGAGCCACATCCCCAGCCTTTTTAATATTTTATTTTGAGACAGGGCTGAAGCTGCCTTTGAACCTGCGATCCTGATCCTCTTGCCTCAGCCTCCCAAGTCACTGGGATTACAGGTGTGCACCACTGCACCCTGCCCAGGGGGGAGGTTTTCAGACAACAAATGGAAGAAACTCCCCCAGGGGTGCTGGGCTAGGGTTCCCCTGACAAACACTGTTCCTGTTGGGCTAGAAAGCTTGTGGCTCTGGTCCCCTCTGGGTCCCTTCTTCTCACTTCTCAGGGTGCTCAGGTATAAATGGGGACAGGTTTTGAAGAGGGTTTTTCCTATCCCACCAACCACCAGGACACCCATGAACTCCCGTCTGTTCACCAGCCCACAAAACCCACTTTGACTTTGGCCTTTTGGCAAATGAGGGTTGTTTGCTCAGTCCCAAAGCCGTCAAAAGGCACGTTCAACCACTGGGAAAAATAAAGAGGTGTTTTTGTTCCGACCCTTCTTGGATGCCAAGTACGGAGAGGGCGATAGCTCTGTGCCTGTGTTTGAAGTTTTATCCTCTGGCAGCCAGAAGTAGGTGGTTGGTGTGAGGACCCAGATGTCTTTGTGATCCAGTCACTCTTTCGGGGTAACTCAGCAAGACCATGGAGGTAAAGAGGTGGCTTCTTTTAAAAATGACTCCCTCCCATTAATGGCTATGATCACCACCCTGGGTTCTGTTTACACCTAGGGACCTCAGTCTGAATCCAAGGATCCTGTGTAATCACAGAGCTCTCCTAGGACGAGGCCCAGCTGGGGCTTGACTGGGTCCACCTGGGTTTGCCTGGGCCCAGAGCCCTTCCTGGGTTTGAACCTGGCAGTGCTGCTGAGCCCCTGGCATGGGGGCCCCTGTCCACCCTCTGCCACGGTTTCTACCCAGGGTCAAGAGAGGCAGTGTCTTCACTCTTGATCTGCAGCCCAGGCCAGCGGGCTCCTCGGCACCAGGGCCTGGCAGGGCAGACCAGTAGGGTCCTGTCCAGGCCTGTGGGTGCTGGTGGGCCAACGGGGAGCTGAATGAGGCCTTTGAGACGAGGCTGTGGGCCCCGTGTTTGTGTTCCAGGTCTCAGGCCTGTCCAGAAGTGCCTTGTAACTTTCCACGGGAGAGGTCAGCCTCACGGTCTTTCCAGAGCTGGGGGTCCTAGGAGTGTTAAATCTGGAGGAGGTGCTCTGGGCCCCAAAAGAGGGAAGGGCACTTGCCTCTCTTTTCTCGGTGGGCAGTGGTGTGCTGAGCTGACCAGGGGAAAGGCCATTCCTGGTTCTGTTTCCTTGCCCTTGCCTGGGTTTGCCTGGGCCCAGAGCAAACCGTCCAGGTAAGCGGGCCCTTTCCAAATATTTTTCAGGGGCCACAAAGTCCTGTTTCACAGGGGTGCCAACTGTGGGAAAGCATCGCCCCTGTTTTTCAAGCAGAGAAAGATACAAACCAGGTGGGCCGGCCCGCACAGAGAGAGCAGCCAAGATGAGTGGGAGGGCGGTGGGGGGCCCGGGCGAGACTTCCATGAGCTTGGCTTCAGGTGGCCCACGGAGGAGGCCCTGGGCTCTGTGATTGGAGAGGCGGAGGGCAGGCACTCCGGGAGGGCGCTGCATGAACAGAGACCTGGAGGCAGCACCACCTGGGATTCATTGAGGTGCCCTAAAGAATTCAGCTGAGCACGAGCCCCGCACCGCACCTGATGTCGTGGGCACGGGGCTTGAGGAGCCCGTGGGGGCGTGGAGACTCATAGGAATCCGTGGGTCTGTGCAATTCACCGTTGGCCAGGCCCGGGGGCTACGGCTGGGAGCTATTAATGGTGTGATTGGGAATTAAATGGAAGAGTTTAAAAGGGGGATCTGAGCTGGTCACGGGGCTGCGTCAGACCGTCCGGGGGCCCTTCCAGGCTACACGATCCGCGTTCTTTGTGTTTCTTTTTGGGGCGTCTCAGTGTTGCGGCCTCTTGCTGGGGCTCCTGCTCTCTCTCTAGGTGCCCCCATGTCTCTTTTTGGAGTTAGTGGATTTTCAACGCCTGGGGGGGCCGGGGTGGAGAAGTTAGACCCATGTGCTGGGTTGGCACAGCAGAAGGGTGGATCCCACCAACCCAGATGGAGGCCAGCTCAGCCAGGGGGCCCAGGACGCTTGAGAAAATGCATGTATCTCCGAAAGGGACCTCCAACGGCTGACCCTCTCGCTCCTCTGCACACAGCTGTATCCAGCATGCTCCAGGGTTACAACCCCGTGTTCCAGGCCTTGCTGGGGACCTTCTTCACCTGGGGGATGACGGCAGCTGGGGCGGCTCTGGTGTTCATATTCTCTAGTGGACAGGTGAGTCCCTTGCTTCAGTTCTAAGGTTCTAGAGGTTTGTGGGACCCTCTTGGCGGCTCATTCCAAGCAGGCCTGCTGGCCCCAGGAGGCCCCTGCCATGTCTGCAGGCAGCGGGTGGTGAGGTCTCTTCCCTGTCTCTTCTCCTGACTCCCTACCAGGCCAGGGGAACAGGTGTCCGCTCGCGGCAAACATGCCACGAGCTGTGTTGTCCTCTGCTGCCCAACAACCTGACTCCAAGGGCGTGGGATGGCAAACCCAGTCATGCAACCTCTGTTAGCCCGCTGCCTGGTTTCTACCTTCTGTCTAATTTGGAACAGGTGGCTCAGTGCATGACCAGAGAAGATTAGGCTTCAGATGTGCCCGCCCTGCCCGTGGCCTTGTGCTAGCTGGGATGACGAAAACAGCCCGGGGGCGGGAAGGGGCTTTTTATTCCTGCTCCTTGGGATGATGCAGGCAGGCACACCTCCCGTCCTCCTGCAGACCACACGCCTGCCCGCTCCTGCCCCCACTGCCCCTACGTATCCTGATTATACCCCAGCACCCTCGGTCACTCGCAGGTCCCCACAACCTAATCCCACACCCCCATGGACTCCTCTATCCCCACATCTCTCCTCCTTCCCCCAGGCCCCTACATCTCCGCACCTCTCGCTCACCCCTCCTCACGCCCCTGCCCCTCCACACCCACCCCCAATGCTTGAAGTGTCCCTCTTTCTCCAACTCGAGCTCCCTCCACCTGGGCCGGGAGCCCCAGGGTCTGCCTTCAGTGCGGTTTCTAGGTAGCTCAGCGCGCAGCTAGAGAAGTAGTAGGGTGCACGTGAGCAGAGAGGAAGACACACCTAGAAGCTGGCAAGTCGGCACCTCGCGTTAGAGACCAGTTCTTCGGGTGGATGTCAGCCCTGAGACCCTGACTCCACCGCTGCACCAGCCCCTCCCCTCCTGGGGGTCCTGGAACCACTCCACCGGAGACTCAGAACTTAAACCTCACGACCCGGAGTCACAGCGCTCCCAGAATCTCAGTATGCACGACACCCAGAGATGTCCAATTCACAGAACGTAGAATGGGGTTGCCAGGGCTCCCTCAGTTGTGAGGAGGGAGCCTTATTTCTATGGCCATAGTGTCCTGAGGTCTCATCCATGTTGTCCCATGTGCCAGAATTTATTTTTAATAGAGACTGAAGGATATGCCCCTGTATGCGTAGGCCATATTTTGTGAGTCCACCCATCTAGGATGGCCAGTAGCAGATCTTTTTATTGGTATAGAAGATGCTCATAGAAAAGTGCACATTTTTAAAATGTGTGTTCCTCACCAATGTCCTTGAAACCAGAGTCTAGATCAAGTCCCCACCCGGTCCCCACCCCGTCCAGCCACATCCCTCACCCCGCCCTCCACTCCAGGGGTGCTCCCTCTCCTGCTCTCCAGCAGTGGGGCTGGTCTTCCGTGTTCTGGTGCATTATTTAGACAGAGTGGTGGTGGAGCGTGTGTCTGGCTGAGTGCACCCTATTTACTTTCCAGTTTACTTAACGCCCCTGGCTGTTTGTGACATGTGTACGTATACAGTGTGCGTGCGTGTGTGCGCTTGCCATGTGGCGTTCTGTAACATGGATACATCCTCACTGGCGGGTGCGTACTTTCCACTGTTGGTGGGGATTTGAGCAGTTTTCTGGTTGGGGGCTCTCGCACATCATGCCGCTCTGAATGTTTGTGTGATTGGTGAATCTGAGCAAGCATTTCTTATTACGCAGGAGAGGCACTTCCCATGGTGCCACCAAGTAGTTCTCCAGAATGGTCTTCCAGTTTGCACCCCCACTGTGTGAGGGTTTGGGTGTTTCCTATGCCCTTCCCCAATTCTTGGTCTAAAAGGGCCAACTGTGTCCTTGCACGGGGAGTCCCAGTCAGGGGCATGGGTGGGGTTGTGCGTCCTTGAGCATCCCCAGAAAAGACACTTCTGATTGGCTCTGGACTGATGGAAGGTTGTAAGTCTTTTCTCCCCTGGTGCTTGGCCCATTTTATAAACTCAGAGTTCACCAGCTCAAGAGTGGGTCCTGGCTCTCCTGGGCCTTATGGCCTCCTCTCGGCTTAGGACACGTTATCTCATTGTCCCTTGGAAACTGAGACACTTCTCTTTCATTTTCAGAGACGCATCTTGGACGGAAGCCTCGGTTTCGCTGCAGGGGTAAGTGGCACTTCTGGGGGAAACGGCAACCGAGGGGGAGGTGTGTGTGTGTGTGTGTTTGTGTGCGCTGACATTTCTCCATCCAGCACCATCTCAGTCTCTCCCCATGTGATCTAGAGGCACCTCTGGGTTCGCTAAGTGCTAATGGCTCCCTGTCCTGACAGCTATGTGCATTTCCCCCTCATCAGATGGCCCTGCCCCTCTCTAGACTGTGAAGGAGCCTTGCTTGAAAGCTGTCTCAGGATTTGCCAAAGATGACATTTAGTAGGGCCTAGCACAGTCCTGGCCCGGTACACAGTTAGCACTAATCAATCATTCTCTTCCTCTCCTCTCCTCCTCCCTTAAAAGGCTTATTTTAACTATGCAAAAAACGTGGAGAGAATCCTGGATCCATCCCAGGTGCCCACCAGTTGAACCTTGATAACAGGCTTTGCTAATTGCATTCTGTCTGTCCTCCAGCCTTTGGGGAGGTTAGGGTATTTTGTAAAAGCAATCTCAGGCGTCATGTAGTTCACCTGCAGATTCAATACACATTTCTCAATGACTAAGGGAAAAAAAGTAATTGCCATGCCATTACCACACCTGCCAAAATTAACAGTGATTCCTTATTATAATCTAACACCCAGGCAATATTCAAGTTTGCTCTTGTTTTTGATGGTTCTGGAGTTGAACCCTGGGATGCTGTACCACTGAGCCACACCCCTCAAGCCTTTTTTTACTGTTTTGAGGCAGGGTCTCCCTAAGTTGCTGAGGCTGTCCTTGAACTTGCCACATTCCTACCTCAGCCTCCTGAGTCACTGGGATTACAGGCATGTTCTGAGTTCATACTCCTCCGTCTTTTCCAAGGGGTCTTCTAAGAATGTTCTAGAATCATCTTTTAAGTGTTGCCAGGTGTATTGGTGCACGCTTGTAATCCAAGTGGCTCAGGAGGCTGAGATAGGAGGATTGTGAGTTCAAAGCCAGCCTCAGCAAAAGTGAGGTGCTGAGCAACTCAGTGAGGCCTTTTCCCTAAATAAAGTACAAAATAGGGTTGGGGATGTGGCTCAGTGGTTGAGTGCCCCTGAGTTTAATCCCCACAATCCACCCCCGCCAAAATAGAATTCTATCTTTTAAGTCTTTTATTCAACATTCTCGGTTTTTTTCCCCCCTACACTAGTCATTTCTTAGAGAAACTGGGTTATTTGTTTCTAGAACGTTCCACATTCTGAATTTGGTCACTTTCTCATAATTTGTCCCTCAGTCCCCTGTGTGTCCCACTAGCTGGGAGTTGGAATTGGGGCTAGGTTAATTCAGACTTCATTTTTTGGGGCCTGGATACTTCAAGTGTCCCAGTGTATTCCAGTTGTATCAGCCACAGCAGGAGGCACAGAGTACCCTTTTTCACTTTTAGTGGATCAGGGTTTGGTTCTAATAATGCAGTTTTTATAGTCCTGTGGTCTGGGGGTGGAGGGATTTCTCTGAGGTCATTTAAGTCAGCCGCTGTCACACTGGGGCCTGTCCTTAGAGAACATGGGGACTTTCCAGCTGTACCCAGGTGGGCAGAGTGTTAGCAAAATCAGCGTCTAGGTCCTCAGCTCCCAAGTGTTCTCTTCCTGAAAACTGTTGTAACTGAGAGTACGCTGGAAGCTGCTCTCCTCTGCCTTCCCTGGGTCAGGTGCCCCCTCCCACCTCGCCCTCCCCTGATGACCTGGCCTAGGGGGCAGCGCCTCCAGGGATGAGCAGAGGGCCCCTTGGAATGTTGGCTGCTGTGGAGACAGCCCAGACCCTTCACTCTTACCCTTGAAGATGGATTTAATCAAACGGTCAGTGGAGAGATCCTTAAAATTGGTTTTCCATGGTGGGCCACTCTGGGATTTGGGGACTGTAACATAACAAGAGCTCAAAGAACAATAGCATAACAGCTCAACCACCCCATCTTCTCACTTGCTGGAATGCATTTTCTCTTCTTTCCTTCTCTTTATTAACATAAGCAAAGAAATAGAAATTAAATTGATGCTCAACCCTGTCTTATTCTAGCAATGCCACTTAATAATTATAGACCTATGAGTGAATTAAAAAGAATGAGAAAAAAGGCCCTTCTATTAATGCTCTTCCAAGAATATTTAGCTTTTCAATATTTCATAACTATAAAGTGGTATGCTCTGTTTTTGTTATGAATTTCTTCATTACTAGTCATAGTTAAAATAGGTTCGTCCAGGAACTTAAATGTCAAGCTTACAAATGAGCAAAGTGGGGCTGGGCTTGTGGCTCAGTGGGAGAGTGCTTGCCTTGCATGCGTGAGGCCCTGGGTTTGATCCTCAGCTGCACATAAAAGTAGATGTTGTGTCCATCTACAACTTGAACAAACCCAAATGAGCAAAGGGGAGGGAACCTGGATTTCATGTACCTAAAGGGGATACACAGGTATGAAGTGTGAAGACCCCTACTCCATTGATCAGGCTTTTGGGTGTCTCGCTGTAGCCTTCTCTTGTAGGTCAGAAGCTGTCACATACCAAAAGACAAATCAAAATAAAAAAGGAAACCAACAAATTGAGTGTGTCCTGGCCTTCAGGACACGTAGGAATAACTTATGATTTTTTTTTTTTAAGGAAACTATCAGAAGACCACTGTAGTTGTAAGTTCATGAGGGGCCCATGCACCTGAGCTTACACATTCCGCAGTACTGATGGTGGACCAAAGTGCTCTAGGCCCGGGAGTCTCGGCATCTACACACTGAAGTTAAACATGATCTAACATAGTTTCACTTCTGATTTTTAAAGTGGTAGGAAAAAAGATTCTAGAAGTTATATTTTTATCCCAAATCAAGTCATTTGCTTTTTCCAGAAGTGACCTTGAATGTGAGTTGCGCAGAAACTCCTGGCAGGTCCCTAGCAGGTCCCCAGATACTACAGAAAAGGCTAAAAATCCTGGAGTAGGAGACGCTTGGACTCAAACCCAGGGAGCCTCGGTGACATTGATGACTAGAAGGCATTCTCACATGTGTGTCTCCAAAACGGGGAAGGACCGTAGAGCCTAGGAGCCCTGAGCAGTGATGACCACCTGGACTTATGAATAATTTATATTTGATATGGATGAGCTATTGGGTGGGGCAGTGGTTGTCAGATTGGCAGATTTGCTCCAGGGGATGACTGGCACCTTGGGTTGTCTCAGCTGGCAGCTAGTGGGTAGAGGCCAGGGCTGTTCCCAAGCATCCTACAATGTACAGCACAGTCTGTGTCCCAACTGCAAAGGACTCACCAAGTGTCAGTGCTGTGGACGTTGAGATGCCCTGACCTAACACATTTTGCTGTTACCTGCCCTGTAGAATGTTTACAAACTCAGTGGAAAGTTCTTAAGACCCCTTGCCCTCTTACTTCTACAGTCAACCCTGTGTGTGTCCTTGGACATCTTGTCACGCACAAATGCATGACACTGGGAACTCCACAGTTGAAATGAGTACAAACCCTGTCTCTGCTCCCCATGTAATGCTGAACAATTTATTTAAACCACCTGTGCCTGCAAAGTGGGAGTGAATCGTAGTATCTGGTACGTCCCTCATAGGAGCACTGTAAAGATTAGATGATTATTAAATTAATAATACCTGATACCTAGTAGGCAGTAGGAGGGTAGTCGAGGGCCGTGGTGCCTGGTACCCTAAAGGCTTTGCTCCCTGGCCCAATCCTGGAGGCTTTGAGTTAGTCTTGACAAAAGCAAAACTGGCCGTGAGTTGGCTGGAGGGTCCATTCCATCTCACAAATGTCTGTACAGCCTCTTAACAGTTCTCCAGTGGGTTGGACACCATCTCTACCTGAGTATGTACATTATAGCTTGTCTAATGTAATGCCACAGTGACACATCTACCCACTGTGTAATTGTTCTCCAAACTCTATAAGAGATTCCTGGGATAAAGGACATATGTATTTTAGACATGCTGGGGAGCATATTTCATAGGTTGCTCTTCTCATTAGAAGGACCTTGGAAGCATGAACAGTTATCCTTAAATGATTCCTCTTGGAATCTCTGCCTGTTTTTCTCCAGATTTCTTAAATCTCTAAGTCTCCAGTAATCATTGTCTGTCTTTGGTACCAAGCTTGGTCTTGAATTTTGCTTTAACTGCAAACTTAACAGGGAGAACTCTTAGGGGAGTCCTTATTCCCTGTTAGCATCCTAGAGTACTGAAACTTTAAAGCTGGAGAAGGTTTCAGATGATAATACCTAATACTTACTGAGCCCTTATTGTGTTTATGATGCTCAGCCAAGCACTTTAAATAGATCATCTAATTTAATTTTTATAGCAATCCTGTGAGGTATGTACCAGGTACTATGATTCACTCCCATTTTGCAGGCACAGTAGGTTTAAATATAATTGTTCAGCAATAAATTGTGAACAGAGACGGGATTTTCACTCAGTCTGACTGTGGGCCTCCTACCTTTAAACCACAATGCCTCCTAGATCATATCTGGTACAGCTGCCTCTATTTACAGACAAGAAACGAGTTTAGGGAGAACAATGACTTATCCAGAGCTGAAAATTGCTAGACAGCAGCAGAATGAGGACCAGACACAGCCGAGAGGCCAGGGACTGCAAGCATTTAGATGAGTGAGCTTGGGCAAGCTCCTTGGTCTGCCTGAGTCTCTGTCGACCCTCCTGAGCAGGGAGGACACGGGACTGGCTGGTTCATTAAACATGCAGAGCCGGGAAGCTCTTAAAGGGGTGAGCTGCAGCACTGCTGGGCACATATCTTTTCATTGGAAGACAACTGTGCAGTGTTTCAGTTTGATTTTGGGTCACCTACTTGTGGATGTTTTAGTGGTAAACTTCACCATGGAGTTGAATATTCTTTCATGGACTGAGAAAGTTATCATGGTCCCTAAAGATACAGAGATGAGTTTGGAGGGGCTGAAACATGGAGGATCACCATATTAGTACTCTTTGCCCTGGATGGTGTGTGTTTTTTGTGAGGCTCAAGTCGAGGAATTGCTATATCAGTACACATTCTCGGCACAAGAGAAGGCCTACC